GTGCTTTATTTAAAGGTTGTGGTTGTTTCATGCAACTCTCTTGTATGTGATTTTTCTTCTTTATTTATTTCAGGCCCCTCCAAGGCATTCCTTGCTCACAATGTATAGAACAAAAGTCAGTTTGAAAGACCGTCAGCAACTTTATAAACTGATAATTAGTCAGCTGCTATATGATGGATACATAAATATTGCCAATGGCTTGATAAATGAGATAAAACCACAATCAGTCTGTGCACCATCTGAACAACTGCTGCACCTAATTAAGTTAGGTAAGCTGGAATATAAAGCTAACATAAAAGTCCAGTTTCTAAATCCCTTGAGAATTAAGAGGTTAGTGTTACTGAAAAGACATCTTTTATGCAAAGATTATGTCTAGTAATAGCATAACATTTTTGTATATTTAGATACAGCCTTTGCCTCCGTGGCTTTTTTGGAAGGGCATTCTAGTTCTATGTTTCATTCTTCAGTATGCATTAAAAGCAAAGCAGATCACTGAGTGTTGTCAAAATCTGTTCGTTTGAACTTCTTGCAACACGTAAGAATGCCTGCTCAGGGTCCTGGGTGACTGGCAACCTTCTAAAAATACGTGCCAGTAAATGGGATCACTGAGTCCACAGACCTAATAGAAAACTGACCCACACAGATCTCTGCCAACTTTAGAAATATTTTCTATATGATTCTTCCTGACGGTGTTGGAAAGGGAGCAAGCCCTTCCATTGGCAGTCTTCACTAGCCTTTATATATCAGTCTCAAGAAAACAAGCTTCACAGTCCAGGGTCTCAGCAAAGTTATTGCCTGTTCTCTCTCTGTGTATCTTTCTCTCTGAAAGTACATCTGTGCTGCAGTATGTATTCAAAATACCTGAGCTGCTGTTGAAACAAGCTGACTAAGTTACTGGAAGAGGTCTAGTCATAATATCATGTCTTCTCTGTATTGTAACTGAACTGGTTCTGCTGCCTGAACTAGTTGAGTTCCAAGACTATAGATATGTGAAGCCTTGTGTCTGTTTGAAATAAGAATAGCTAGACTTCCTATTTGTAGATGAAAGCAACAAAAACTTTTCTGTTGCATTTGATCAGTTGATGATCACAGTTGGGCACGTAGCTGAAAATTCTTGTGTCTGCCCTGTTACCACTTCCAATGCTGAACTGTCTTTGTTCAGTGGATGCATCCTGGAAATAAGAAAATAATAAAAAAATCTGTAGAGTGGGTGTGAAAAGGAATAAAAATTTTCATTTACAATGCTGGGATAGTTGCTTGTGGGGTGGTTTTTTTTCTTCAATGCAATGAAACAGAAAGGAAAAGAATCAGTAAATGCGTCAGTTTTTTACTTCAAATCTCATGTAATAATGTTGGGGCTTGTTTCTCCCTCTGAAAAGCTGACTAGAGGCCTGTTGATGGCTTCAGTAACTGATTGTCAGTGCACTTTCCATCCTACAATATTTGCTGGTTGTATTTCCACAGTTAATTTTGAGAGCTGTATTCTGCTCTAGCGTAGCCAAAGTACCTCTCATTTCTCGTGGGAAGTACTGCTGTATAGCTAAATCTGCTCTGCTAGCTTAGCTTTGTTCAACAGGGCCTGCCTCTCCTAAAACCTGTCTCATAGCTGTTACAGAAGTCTGTAGCATACATCTGGCCACAGCCTATCTGTCTAAGAAGAAGGTTAACCTGGTTTAAGTGCATCAACTTCTCTCTTTTCAGGAATGGAGAACGATGACAGTGCTGTTCAATATGCAATTGGACGGTCAGATACGGTAGCTCCAGGCACAGGAATTGACTTGGAATTTGATGCAGATGTACAGACCATGTCTCCTGAGGCTTCTGAATACGAGACTTGTTATGTCACATCTCATAAAGGACCGTGTCGTGTAGCTACATATAGCAGAGACGGACAGTTAATAGCTACAGGATCTGCTGATGCCTCAATAAAAATTCTTGATACAGAGAGAATGTTGGCCAAAAGTGCTATGCCTATTGAGGTAAAATATGACTTGAATCATAACCACTTTGTGAATTCTTGAGGTGCTGTCTATTTCGTGCCATGTCTGTGCCTTGTGGCTGGCTCAGTGGGTTGGATTAAATATCTGTCTCGCCGTATTTCCTACTCCAACAGCGGCTCATAAAGTACCCTTGAAGAAAAGGAAGAAGAAATAGGGCAAGTATACCTGTGTAACTTGTGGCAGCAGCCTAGAGAATTGAGCGAGAAATTGCTTCTAATAGTTGCTGGTAATTGATATATTGTATGAACACAGATCATTTTTGAAGCCACTTACACTTTTGGCCTCTACAGCTTCCAGTGGCTGTGTGTTTCAGAACTGTTTCACAGAATACGTATTTATTTGCTTCAATTTTTCTCTAATACGTTATCAGGTAGCAATTTAAAAGCGGGGGGGGGGGTTGCACAGAGTGCACACCAAATTCTCAGCAGTATCCTGCATGAGTAAAAGTTGCAATTTTCCCAGTTGGTACAGCTTCCCTTAATTCTTACGGCAATACAGTATTTTGATTTGGACTGTTTATGAAGGCGAGATGTTTTCTTGCACCAGTTCTCTGCTGCTGAAACTAGTTTGTCCTTGAGCAAGTCGGTTGACCTTTGCAAAGATACAGGGATCTTATCTGTAACAATATATAATGGGCCTTCAAATAATTAAGGTGATAGTGATTATGTGCCTAGTCATGTGTCAGAAAGGTAGCTGTTGTTTGGCCACTCTGGCAAGCATAAAACCTACTTTTCCTGTCAAAAGCATGTTCTGCTTTCTAACAGTCTAACTTGTTGAATGTTCCTTGTAGGTCATGATGAATGAGACAGCACAGCAAAACATGGAAAATCACCCCGTTATTCGGACTCTGTATGATCATGTGGATGAAGTTACGTGTTTAGCTTTTCATCCAACAGAACAGATCCTAGCATCTGGTTCAAGGGACTACACACTTAAATTGTTTGATTATTCAAAACCTTCTGCCAAAAGAGCCTTCAAATATATACAGGTTAGATACAATACCAGTTCAGAGCAACTAAAGCTTGAATGTATAAGTACCAAGGTATCAGAGAGCTGAATTGTGTCTGAGTTTATAAGTGGTTAGGTATGTAGGAGTATGCAGCTACAAAATTTGCAGACATTATGGTATTACGTGTTAAGAGTTTGTGCATAATGGATACCTATATTCTTTAAATCTAGTGCCTGTCTGCTTTTTATTAATCTAGACCAAATCTAATATGGGTGACTTTGAAGCCAATTATATTATCTTTGTTTTGGAGGAGAGTTTGGGATTATGTGGTGGTGGGCTTTGGGGTGTGTGACTGGCTGACAAAGCCTCCTTTCACTTTTGTGCGATATCCCAAAAATGAGCGGGCACTGCAAGCTGCTCTAGGACAAAAACTACAATACATTTAAAGGTAGCATGTCATTTTAATCCTATAGGAAGCATTTTCTATTTTGCAAAAACAGAACACATTGTGCCAGCTGATAATTTAACTAGTTTTTTAGCTCTTTAATGCCACCAGAATTGACACTTCCATTTCAGATTTTTTTTCTTTCTTACACCAATTATGTATTTTTGATCAAACAGGAAGCAGAGATGTTGCGCTCAATTTCTTTTCACCCTTCTGGAGATTTCATACTTGTTGGTACTCAGCACCCTACTTTACGACTGTATGATATCAATACTTTCCAGTGTTTTGTGTCTTGCAATCCTCAAGATCAGCACACTGATGCTATATGTTCAGTAAATTACAACGCAAGTGCAAACATGTATGTGACAGGAAGTAAGGATGGATGCATCAAACTGTGGGATGGTGTTTCAAATCGCTGTATCACTACTTTTGAGAAGGCACATGATGGAGCTGAAGTCTGTTCTGCTATTTTTTCCAAAAATTCAAAGTATATCTTGTCAAGTGGAAAAGACTCTGTAGCTAAACTATGGGAGATATCCACTGGTCGAACACTGGTCAAATACACAGGTATGTGGCAGGTGACCTTCCAAGTACCTTCTTTTTCAGGTACTGACCCACGGCAGGGGTGGTAATATTGTCAGAAGAATAGTAATTCTTAAAAGCAATGGGAAACTGCGGCTTTGAGGATAAATTGCCCCAAATTTTTGAGAACACTTAAATGTAGACTAATTCCAGAAGAGAAGCTGTGATTCCTGTATGTGTAAATATATTTAGTCTGTGTAGATTTTGGAGACTTTCTGACATCATTACTCCATTGCCTTGGAGGGAAATTATCACTAAATTAGGGAAAAGTAAAAAGGAACACTGCCCTAAGGACTAGGACATCTGTGCAGAGGGTTTTGTTCTCTAGTTTTTCTTTAGTGTGTTTTAGAAACAGTGATTATTAAAACAGCATCATCACTTTTCTTGCTGCTGATAATTTTTATTTATTTATTATGAATTTATTTATTTTCTATTTATTGCTTGACTAGGGGCACAGTTTAAACTAGAAGGGTCAAAACTTAACACCTAATCCATTTCTGGCTAGAGTAGGCCACTTTCATGCAGAGTACCCACCCAGACAGGGAATTAAACCTACCTTGGGGCAGTTGTTTTAACCATTAGACTCTTGTGCAAAAGATGGCTCTAGTAAGCCATGGCAATATGCTGAAAAACAGCTACAGCTGGTTTGTTTCTTTTTTTTTCCTTTTTTTTTTTTTTTTTTTGCCCTCCCCAAGGATGCAATTGTGTGCAAGGTAGTCATACTTGGAGCATGCTGACAATACCATGCTTTGATCTCAGCAGGACTTGAGAAATGATGAAGGATGTAGAAGCTTTGCATATGATAGCAGCTATGTGATGGGGGAAGCTTTTGGGTCAAGCAGTAATGTGCTTAAGCATTAGGAGTCATAGCATAAAAGAGGAGAGGATGTTGAAAATTTTGTATATCAGCTTTTGGGATGTGTACGGTCCTTTTTTGTACGCTAGATCTATTTTGCTCTCAACCAGCAGGGTGCAGCACCTCCTTGATAAACTTTTGCAAAATATCAGGTAGCATGCAGGTGCATGCATTGCAAAGTAAATGCCTATATATGAAACACACATTTTATTTGAAGGGTATGGAGGGAAGGTATGGCCAAGGTAGGTCATACCATGTGCCATATGATATATACATTAAAAATAAGTGTTGTCATTGATGAGAATCTGTGTATTCTACTATCTGTGGTCTTTCCCCTTAGTTACAGCTGTAAGCCTCATACAAAAAATATAAGGCAAAAGTGCTCTTAAAGTTAAGTGATTGCACTCATACTGAATGGTTGGACTTGACTGACACAGTTGGAGTAGTTAATCTTTCTGTCCTCTAAGAAATTTTAGAATATACCATGTATATAACTACAAAAGAATATTCATTATTGATTCACCTGTTTTATGCGGGAGTGATAGACTAACTGAGAACGTAAGGCTCTTTTGTAGACTGTAGAAGTTGATACTTATGGGAGGTTTATTCTTAGGTCTTCGGAAACTTCCGAAAACTGATCCTATTTGGGTTAATTTTTTGCTGCATATATTTAGGAGCTGGTTTGAGTGGACGACAAGTACACAGGACACAAGCTGTCTTCAACCACACAGAAGATTATGTGCTGCTTCCAGATGAAAGGACCATAAGTCTCTGCTGCTGGGATTCAAGAACTGCTGAACGGAGAAATCTTCTTTCCCTTGGGCACAACAGCATTGTCCGTTGTATTGTCCATTCTCCTACCAATCCTGGCTTCATGACCTGCAGTGACGACTACAGGGCTAGATTTTGGTACAGAAGGTCAACGACAGACTAAGGACAGCTTTATAAAACAGTGATTATCCAGATTCATTATATCATCTTGTATTGATTGTACTGCCAACAGATGCCTAGATGAAAGCCGTGCTGTGTCTGTTTTTTAATTCTGTCAAACGTGGCAGAAAAATATCAAAATACTGAGACTAAGTTTTGCCCCACGCTAATTTTTTTATTGGTGTGTGTGGCATTAATTTTTGTAAGTCATCGCTAATTGTACTCAAGGAGTGTGTGGGGGAGAATAAAATGATCCTTGCAGGAAGGATTAAACTTGTTCTCCTGTCTTTCTAAATCCCGCGAGAGATAATGTGACTTGCTCAAACTGGGCAGTATGAGCCAGTTTTGCTCTGCATTGTATCTGTGCAATCCCACTGAAGTCTGTTTAAAGAATGGATTACACAAGTAACAGCAGAACTTGGCAATTATTTTAATGAAGCCTTAAGCTGCCTTCAGTTCTGATTCATTTTTTGTAAAGCTCTGTTTTGTATCTTTTAGTCTGGGGGTTTTTTTGGTGGGGTTTTTTTTTTTTTTTAATTGGCCAAGTGGACCTTCAATTCTGAGCCAGTCTTGTGCCATAAGAATTTGAAACAGGATTTTCTATTGTTTAGATGAATTCAAGAAATGGTGTTCTAGTTCTGGTATTAAAGCTCAGGCTTGAAATCTTGTCTTCTTTTGAATTTATCTTAACAAGTGGGACCTCGAAGTAAATTCATAGTTTTGGCAAGGAGTGTGCACATTGCAACTGTAAAATATGACAGTGCTGCAGATGTGCAAATGAGAATAATGTTGCCATAGAGACCTTTAGTATCCTCTCAAAGAAAGAAATTGTTGTGCGTATTAATTTTTGTATATGTACTTCAGAAATGTCACTTTGCTTCATTTTATTGAGAAATTTTCATTCTGTAAGTCTGTTACACAGCACTTGAATTATATTCTTTTTTTTTTTTTTACTATTCAAAAACCCAGACTCACTCTTTCTTCTCCCTGTTACCTGTAATAGTCCAAGTTTCCCAGACCTTGTCCTACTCAACGGAAGTACAGCTCATTAAGAAACTCTGTGCTTAAACCTTCTGTAAGTTTGAAAATTCACTACTTATTTTTACAGATAGTTGCCTGTGCAAAGTTTTAAATATGTTCATTCAAGCATCCTTGTACAGTGCTCTTGGGCTTCACATTTGGGAGGCTTCATTTAGTCAAGAGTTCAGCACTTGCTTTCATGAGGATTTTTAAATGTAAGATTGTTCTTACTGCTGGATTAACTTTCAGTTACCACTGATGAAGTGTCTTGTCAAGGGCTGATGAGGGTACAGGTTTTGTCTGTATTTAAATAAAGATTACCTTTTAAAAAGTTATTTAATATATAAAGAAGGAAATGTATTAGTTTTCTTTTCTATATAACAAAGGAGAAAAGAATAGTGGAAGGCTGTGTCTTTGCAGACATGTTAAAGCTTGATGAATTTGTTGTGTTACATCTGAATCAGACATAACTATAGACTTAGAGTATAGAATGTGGGTTTTTTTTTTAAAAGAGGTAGAGAATGAAATTTAATTTTCCTCTTAAAGCTACTGTTATGCAAAACATTTCTTAGGCTTAGCAATCCTCTTTCCTCCTCCTCTGCCTCCCTTCAAGTTTGTAAAACTTTAGAAACATGGGAGGCATGAGATAGCAGTTCTCGTGGCTTTTTTGTTGGAGAAACAAGGAGAACCAGAGCTTGGTGGGAGGGAAAAGGGAAGTCCTGACACACAGTTATTAATGCATGCTGTACTCACTCAGCGACAGCAGCCCTCTGCTACTACAGCCAGCCTGCTAAATTGATAGCAGGGGCAGTTTTTTTCGGAGTGCCACATTTGTTTCAATTTTGTTAAGAAGCTGTCCGTAAGTAACACATTTGCTACTGGTGTTTGGACTCTTCTATTTTTAAAACACTATTTTGGTGTTTCATGTATTAAACCATTGCTGTGGTTGATAAGTTAGCAGCATACTAGCTTTCACCTCAAGCTTCCTTAATTCTGTGGACTTTTAACTTGCAGTGTAGAAATAGAGTTTTATTCTGTTAACACAAAAACATCCTGACGTTGGCACCTTTCTTCCTTTTTGTATTGTATATCATCTTGCTTGAGGCCAGAAGTTTGGGGGTTTTCTGTTTAAGAAATAAGGGCTGGAAGAAACTTAACTCATCCTAGTTAGGTAGATAACGCAAGAGTGAAATAGTTCAGTCCTACACCATCCCAGTGGCACTCTGGTAGTTGAAGGTGGTTGATTGGGGACGAGAATGAGAGGAGGCAAGGCTGCTATACAGCATTCAGAGCAAGCACGCGTGGACGTACAGTGAAGAGGAGCCATAGCTGCATCTTGAAGAACAAGGTTTTATACACACGCAGTCGTCCTGTTATATCTGCATTTGACTGAAGGGCAGTACATCTTTTCACTGTGCAAGTCTGGAAGTATCTAAGTAAAGATTCTTCACATGATCATGCTTACTACTACAGTCAGAGAGGCTTCACACCTAGAAGCTGTATTTGATCAATTAAAACTCCAGTGCAGCTGCTTGCCCTTCTTGAGTTTTGCAGTCTGTACCTCTTGGTAGCTACGTCCCAGTGAGCTGCTCCACTTAGACAAGCACAGTCATACTGGAGATTTATCACCTCCTCAAGAAAGTCTCCATCACCTGCCTAAAGGTCCATTGTATCCATCTGGCATGTAACCTACTCTTGCCTCTCCTTGGAAGAATCTATCATGGAAACATGGCAAGGTGATGCCACAGCTAACACATTAGGACAACGAGCCATGCAGACGTGAAAGCGAAGCAGGTTTGGAGACAAATCATAATTATGGTTTTGTATCTTTCGGCCTTCAGCATTCCTTGGCAGTCAGTAACTGCCACACGGCTCTAGGGAAACTCTTTCCTAAAAAGCCACTTCTGGAATTAGGCTTGTTTGCCACCCATTGAAACAGGTTTCAAACTTTCTACTTAAGAGGGATCAGTGTTTGTCATTTCCTGGACACAGAGGCTGTCTTTCCACCAGAGCTGCCCTGTGAGACTGAATCCCAGGAAAAACTGAAGAGCAATAAAGGAAAAGTAGTTAAGATAATTGTAGTTCAGGTTAGGAATTTCTCCTGTGTGGCTGTAAGGGACCCTTCGAACATGCTGCAGCACAACTGCTCTGCTCGCTGAGCAGGATATTGCAGAACAGCAGCCAAAGCTCACGCCATTTCCTTGTGTACATGTTTAAGCCTCGGTGCAGCCAGGAGGAGTCTTTCACATAGCATTCACCCCCAGGTATGGATGGTAATACATGAGGTTTTCGCAAAGCACCTTTATAACAAAAAATTGTATCGGTGCCTTAAAAATTGAGACAACTTTGAAAGGCATGAAAAACGTTGGTTTCGAAATCCTGAATTTATATGATTGTGGCAGTCTTATTTCTATCCAGCATTGTGCAGCCCCTTGTGGTACATAGTATTCTTGTATTCATTACATTTCTAAAAGAGGAAATACAGGAACATGTAGCAAAACAGAAGGGTGAGACTTCTGACTGCGGTTAATTGCGACAAGTTGGTGGCAGAGAGATCAAGGAAAATTCCACTTGCAGACAGACTTTTTTCTCACTTTTAGATGCTAATAGCGTTTTTCTGTTTTGCATTCTGTTCTTTTTAATCTTACCTGTTGTCACAGAAATTATCTTTCATGAGAATCTTTTCTACAAATTCCTAAAACCTTTCAGGGGTAGAGCTGTCAGATGTGCTTTCTTGAGACGTAGTTCCTAACACACGGTGACTGCAAAGCTGAAGTCTCTTCATCCTGCCATAATTATCTGTATTGCTCCAAGTGACGCTGCTGGTGAATGACAACAATGGATAAAAACATAAGAATCAACAGAACTGCAAAGGTATGTCTGGTTTTTTGAGTACAGCATAGGAACAATTAAGAAAAAAGGGTCCTAGAGTAGGGTTTGATGTTTGAATTTCAGCATGATGCTTGGTGATGTTGGAAATGTTTGGTATCCTCATCTCAAGGTGGACGGAAGGCTCTTTACGATGCTCATGTACCTAATGTCTCCCTGCGCTTTTTGTTGTGACAAAACTATTAACTGGAAGAAATGTCTTCTTGGGAAGGACTCTGAATAAAGCAGGGTTCCCAGATAGCAAATACCTGCGAATAAAAACATTTGTGAAATAATAAATACGCAACTTAAAGGTTCCACCTGTCTTACTGCTATCCTGTAGTAATATTTGAGACACGGTTATATTGTCAGAGACTTTCAGTGACAGTCCAGGTGATCTGTTGCATGATTTTTTCTACATTGCACGCAAAACAGAAGAAATTTTGAAGTACTATATTTGTTTCTTTTGAAAGACTGGAACTAGTTTATAAGGTTTTTTACATTTATTTGTGTATTCATATTGCATCTAGGATAATTTTATATATATACATACACAAAATAACCTGCTGCAGCTATAAGGGTTAGAGAATGCTGAAGTCTTGATTCAAAAGCAGTGCCTTGATTGTCCTACTGTCTGCAAGTCTAATAAGCAGCGTAATGGAATTATTATTTTCATCCTGGGTTATGATCTCAGTGTTTACTGTAAATAAACTGCCTCCTGGAAATTCGATACAAAATATAGTGGGGGGAAAAAGCTTAGTACTAGTTCGATGAGTCACTCTTTTGCACTCAGAATTTTCCATTGAGGCATGTAAAGATAAGAGGACTATTTTTCACATTAAGTCATCGGAAATTGATGCAGGACATTTTTAATTTCTATACAGAGAAGACAGTTTCTATTTCTCAGTATGATATTTTCAGTTTTCTTAATTGGATTGCCAATGGCTAAATAAATGTAATGGTAGCAAGCTGATTTCCTGGTCTGCTGTGAGATCTTTAGACACAGCCATAGCACACCCAGTCAAACTCAGCTGAGTAACAACTGAAAGTCAAATTTATTTCTGCTATATAATTTATGAACTGTTTATAAGGTTCCTACTACCCTAGCAGTACTGTTTGTTATAACATTTGGATGTTGTACTTAATACGAAAATACTAAGGATGTGTTTTTTCTACTATCTGGACTTCTTGTCAACCATCAGTAGCTCTACTGTGACAGGTCACACTTTGCAATTATCGCTGTGCCCCAACTATTCCACCTTCACAAGGAAAACCGTTTCTGAAAATGAATTCAGTATATGAGCACAGCCAGAGAAATGATGTTACTTCTTTCTTGTTGCATATACACCTGCGACATAGTCTGCACAGGAAACGTTGCACCTCTTGGTGCAATTTAAAACAGTCAGCATGACGGGCTGTGCTTGGGAAACAGTTCTCGTACTGTTTGACAACATTGTCTGTGCTGTTGCCAAAGGAAAAATAGGAGCGTTTTTTAAACACACATTACGTTGATCTGAAGTTTGTCTTTCCTTCCAAAATGCCCAGTTCAATATTCCCATCTTGTCCACACAAGTGCGT